CATTATTTTCTTTACCTCCCTTGATTCGAACTCTTTAATAGATCGAAAGCTTTCAAGCCGGTCGCAGGCTACACTGAGGCTAGTCGCTTATGGGAGATGGTGATCGCTTACGAGAGGTGGTCGCATATGGAGGTTGGACTGTAATTATAAATGGCCATATAAATTATTAGAGAATTATGGGAGACGGGTAAATTATGAGGAATTTCAAATTCATATAAAATCCTATAGCCATTCCACTGCTATTGAGTGTTTTATTTGGCAGAAATGATTAGCCTCTATGCCTTTCATGTTTCAAACGATAGCTAAGTGGAAATGAAAACACATTAACCTTGGAATTAATATAGCAAGCAAGCAGAAATTTAACAACCCACGGCTCTCCTAGGGTGATTGAAGACGTTACGAAAAACTGGGAATCGAACATCCCCCCGCCTCCCAGGTTGTTCAAAAGATGGATAGCTCTATCCTCCAGCTAAGGCACTATCCAGCGGATACATATATTAAGTATTTTCAATCTGAAAGCCAATTCGTAAGGTAATCCACTAAATAGAGATAGTACTCTTCACCAACGGAACAGCTGGGGCATGGTGGTACTGCAAGCAAATGACGAAACATTCCATTTAACAGGTACAAGTTAGAGACAACTCAGAAAGAGCGATTACCTATAGTCCACCTGGAGCGTAGAAACTTAGGAGCAGATAATGAAAATCTCTAAAATTTGCTAACGCAATGACGTAAATACAGACTGAGCTTTCAAGGGCCCATTATTAACGACTCGCTACCAGAGCAACAAACCGATCAGAAAATATCTCAAGATATTCTGCTAACAGACTTGATTTTTTCATTTATTTTCTATTAATATATGTCACCATTCAGTTAAGAACAGCATGATTTTCCGGTGTGTACCGCGCGCAAGATAGATCTATGCAACCGGTTTTTTGCCATTGACTATAAGTTTTCATTAAACTCAGACGTTCAACGACCTTAAAAGAAAAAGTAAAAATATAAAATACTATATTTTATTAAGGTCATGTTCAGTTTCTGAGATTTATGAGCGCATTTCTCAGTAGCGACTACATATATGTAATTTTGTTCATAAAAAGACTAAGGGGAAGCACCTAAAATAGCAGCCTTATTTAAAGTCTTTAAAAAAAGACGAGACCGATATGAGTAATTGACCAAGCGCGAGGTCAAGATAGACTAGTTGGCCCATTAGTAACATTAGCGACCTTTAGATTCTATAAAGACGAGGTCACGAGGACGAATACTAGGAGAAGATTTTTAAGTAGTGCGCGCGCGCCTGAATCAGTATCATTTGGCGGGAAACAAGTTTTTTTTCGAGTTTGATTAAGAATGTCGTAGTGACGGTAACAAGAAGTGTTCGAATGTTAGAAATGTTATTATTTTTTGATCAGGAAAAAACTTCAGGTCAAATCTCGTTCGTGGTCGAATTCGTCCTCTAATCTAAAGGTCTCTGTTTTCTTATCTTTACTTTTCCTTCTTTTTTCCCCTCGGGGAAATGCTATTTATTCCTTTCTTCTATCGCCAACTAAAAGAATCAACGCGGTGAATGTCAATTTTGCTCTCGACTGTTGCAGAATTATTTCAGTATCTTTGTCTAGATTCCCTCAAGTGCCTGAATATAAACTAAATCTTTTCTCGAATGATTTTTGGAAAGAACTTCAGATTTCAGGCAGCTGAACAGATTAAAAACGTGATAAATTTTCTCCATAAAAAGCCATTCGGGTGTCTTCAAAAGGGCATTGAAAATGGTCGTCATTTATTTATGTTAAATCCATTAAAGCATGTTAACCTAATATTAATTATATATCATGTTTTGACAATCCGTTTACGTNTTGACCAAGCGCGAGGTCAAGATAGACTAGTTGGCCCATTAGTAACATTAGCGACCTTTAGATTCTATAAAGACGAGGTCACGAGGACGAATACTAGGAGAAGATTTTTAAGTAGTGCGCGCGCGCCTGAACCAGTATCATTTGGCGGGAAACTGTGATAGCCGTCGTCATTTCACATCGAGTTTTATTAAGAATGTCGTAGCGACGGTAACAAGAAGTGGTCGAATGTTAGAAATGTTATTATTTTTTGATCAGGAAAAAACTTCAAGTCAAATCTCGTTCGTGGTCGAATTCGTCCTCTAATCTAAAGGTCTCTGTTTTCTTATCTTTACTTTTCCTTCTTTTTTCCCCTCGGGGAAATGCTATTTATTCCTTTCTTCTATCACCAACTAAAAGAATAAACGCGGTGAACGTCAATTTTGCTCTCGACTGTTGCAGAATTATTTCAGTATCTTTTTCTAGATTCCATCAGGTGCCAGAATGTAAACTAAATCTTTTCTCGAATGATTTTTAGAAAGAACTTCAGATTTGAGGCAGCTGAACAGATTAAAAACGTGATAAATTTTCTCCACAAAAGTCATAAAAAGCCATTCAGGTGTCTCCAAAAGGACATTGAAAATGGTCGTCATTTATTTATGTTAAATCCATTAAAGCTTATAATTGAAGCTAATTGATGAGGAATATTTGTTATTCATAATGCAACATGCATGTTAACCTAATTATATCATGTTTTGATAATCCGTTTACGTATTATCGTCTTAGATTGTTCGTTGCTAGATTTATCGCAGAAGATCAGGGGGAAAAAATGATTTCTTTTTCATTCATGGTAGGAAATACCATTATATTCTTCATCTCATTTGATCGACCTCTTTATAGATCGAAACTTAAGCTTTTAAGCCCGTGGCCGAATAACTGGACCTTTTAAAAGCTAATCTCAAAGCAATGACGTAAGACTACTCTGCGGTTTACTTAAAATGTATTCATTTTGTTATGTTTATTCATTTTAAACTTTGCCCTATCGCAGCGAAATCTAGCATGGTTATGAAGTCAACAATCCTATGGTATTTCGTTCTTTCTACCTTAGTGGTAGCTACGACTGTATTTTCGAAACATATCTCTGGTCTTGGTAAGTGCTAGCTAGTTCAAGAAATTTAAATACCGTTTAAAAATGTAAGGTTGAATTTATGGAATAATTGTTAAAAGCTACATAAAAGACGAAATGTAATTTTTTATATAATTATTTTCCTCGAGGTAGAACTATTTCTCCTTTTTCCTTTTTAATAAAAAGGTCTAATAATTAATTTGTCTTTTATGCTTAGCTGAAACTATAAACCCCTTTCTTTCCTCATAGATCTAGCCCCGATGTTCAAACGTTAGATAGCGCTATTTACCTGATAAATCACTGTTCAGTGGATAAATATTAAGCAAAGCATACATTCAAGTCATTACATTATCCACGGGCCAGTTAATGACCGTGGTCAAACTTCTAAGGCGTTTTTGGTTTTTAATGATAGGATTTCATTAACCAGTACGTGCAAAAATTGGCAAAGATGTAAGAATCAGTAATTTTTCACGCAACTTTTTTTTTATTATCCTCAAAATATTTGAGCTTTTTCCTGTTAAAATTGCTTTGCGCCAAAAGAAAATCATACACGAAAATGGCGTTGAAAATAACACCAGCTTCGGTTTTCAGGCCAACAATTCAACTTTTCTGGCAAACTTTCAGAAAGTCTAGTAAACTAGAAGGGTATTGATAATACCTTACACTTTCAACGGTGAAACGGTAGCTATCTTAGCTTTCAATACTTCGCTTAGCTTTTGCAAATTTCTCTCGTTTGATAGCACTGTACGTTACCTTTGAACAACTGAGGTCTTTTATCTCTTGGATTTTTCTTTTCTCGTTGTGTTAACTAAAAGAGTATATATTCCTCCAAATTAGCTCCATTCTACCAACCACACCCCTCCCCCGAGAAGTGTGGATAAGGATTATAATAATAGCAACAGCCTAAAAAAAATCAGACGTCGATGGAATTAAAAATAATGCTATAATTATAACAATAATGATAATGATAAAGATTCTCGTCCGTCACCTTTGCGCCCGGGGGAGGGGAGGGAAGGGGGTACTCCTGGGAATTCTTGGTGGGGTATGCCGCCCGCTTCTCTAAATCCTGGCCCTATTTCAGACCAAAAATTGTAATTTTCCACACCCGTTTTCAGACCAGACCTCTAAAATCCATACTCGTTTTCAGACCTGACCTTTAGGTAGTGATTATGTTAGTATTACTTAGATTAGAGCGCAAACAAAAAAAATTCCTCAAATTCGTTTCGAATTCGCATATTTCTCTTTCTTTCTTACTCATTTGGAATTGAAACGATAAATACGTTCATACACTCCCGTAGTTCCCTCGAAAACCATACCCGGTTCCAGACCCATTATGGGCAAAATGTATACCCGTTTTCAGACCAAAACGGCGCAAAAACCCTACCCGATGGGGCGGCACATACCTATATTGCTTATATAAAGGAGTATCCCTCCGGGCCTTTGCGATACCGGTGCGATGCTTTTCCATGACTTAATTCCAGGTTAGCTACCAAGCCATACAAGACAACAAACTGATTGAGTTCTAAGCACGTGAATTGTTAACTTGTCGATATAATGGAAAATTGGTTTATTAGCTCGTTAATTTTTTTTATTTTCAGTTTATTGAATTATTTACCGCTACAGCAACCCCTCAAAAGTGGATTATTAGAATACACTAGTTTTCTTCATAATACGCTATTTCTTAACTGTTTATGTATACGATTGATTTTAGAAGAATCGCATACGGAAACGAAAGGATCTCAGCTCTCCTCGCGAAGGAAAAGAAATCTTCCACCTCCATTTTTCGCAGGAAACGAGAAACCAGAGGGGCTCCCTGGTATTTCTAATGGGCAAGACACGCCTCAAACTCTACGTCCTGGCACTGCACCTTATTATTTTTCTCTCTTTGACAAAAGCACGAATACTCCTTTTTATTCAGCGTATAAAGTTACTCCCGATCAAGCAGTTAGACTTGGGACGTATAGTAGAAAAGATGCAAATGGAAACTGGAGAGGCCCTATAGGTATGTAAATATTTAATAAACAGTTCTTTGAAGATTGAATAGGGAGGAATAAATGCCTTTGCATTATTGTTTTTAGAATAGGACCTCGAAAGCTTGTACACGAGCTAGTACACATATTTGGGGACGCGAATTTCATCAAATGGTAATTTTAATGCCTTTAGTAGAATATTTAAAAGACAAGCTCTTCACGCTCTATTCAGCTTACGAAAACACACAAACTTTAGCAAATTGAAACCTTCTCTTGCTTGCAAAATATTTTAAGCGGAATTTGGGGTGTATATGTAAAACATAATTTTGAATCTTGGGACAATACCCCAACTGAAAAAACCCACCTGAAATTTTGCAAGCATTACCTAGAAATAAGCAATCAAGCTTCAAATGTTGCAAGTAGAAGTGAATTAGGACGATTGCCATTAATTATTAGTATTTACAAAAACATCCATCATTACATATTGTATCCTCTGCGTAAAAACGAGGATACTATTGTCAAACCATCCTCGGAGACCCAGGGGCAGATAGTGGGGGCGAGGGAAAGTCTAAACAGGCGGAAAAATATGACACAAAAGAAAAGTAAAGAACGGCCAGAAGAGCCCCTGGGGACAATGTCTTACCAGACCAGTTCCAAACGGTTGCCGCCGTTGTGGCTTCTGATTGGTGCCAGAAAAACACAAGTTTTCTGGCACCAATCAGAAGCCAGAACGACGGCGACCGTTTGGAACTGGTCTGGTAAGACATTGTCCCCGGGGGCTCTTCTGGCCGTTCTTTACTTTTCTTTTGTGCCATATTTTTTCGCCTGTTTAGACTTTCCCTCGCCCCCACTCTCTGCCCCTGTGTCTCCGAGGATGTTGTTAAACAGGCCTTTCGTACCTCGCTAGAACTTCACTATAATGGTAAAAATAGCTTTTACCATAATCATATCAAAATATCTGAATATTATGATCATTCTAAGAAACTACACTTTTACAGCATATCTAAACATGATTTTAAAATTTCAAGTTATCTAGACTTAACTAGAAATTAAATCAACAGGAAAGACTTAGTGAAAATTCGTACAAGTAACCACAAACTCGTGATTGAAACTGGAAATATAATCAAACTCCCCACAACGATAGTTTCCGCCCTGTTTGTAACTCTGGCATAATTGAAGACGAATTTCATTTTCTCTTGTATTGTTCAAAGTATTCAATCCCAAGTGAAAAATTCTACAATCAAACCCAACAAAATTTTGTCGATTTTAATCAGCTATCTTGCACAGAATTAATAATTAACCCTCGGACGTATACGCGAAGTCATACCCCCACCGTGGTACAAGGGGGGGAGGGGGATGGATGGAACCCTTCCTTGCAGTTTTTGATATGTTGCAGTATTTCGAAACGATTTTACCTTTAGTGGAAAGCCTTTGATCTTCTTAACAAGATTAGGTATATTTCATGGGTGGTGGCGCTGCTGGAGGCCTGTGACGTCATCATCAATGGTCGCCACTTTGGATTTTACTAAGAATTAGAAATCAGGTTAAAACCGTGAGAAATGGTAATTTTTTGTGCTTTACATGAAAAATAACACATAAATAAGCACTGTGCATGATTTTAGCCACAAGATTGGCTTTCTTTGTTGAAAAAAGTTGAGAAAACGTGTACTTTCACTCAAAACTGGCCTTGACCACCTTCTGCTTATGACGTCATACCTCGTAACCATAGCAACTAACCATCACTGAATTTGTCTCAAAATGTGCGCGAGGGATGAACGAACAGCTACTGAAAACGTCAGGTGTTGATGTTTTATCCTCTAGGAAAAAAACTCAAAAAAACCTTATACCTGTAACGTTCGAGGGTTAAATTGATGAATTCACATAATTTTTCTGTAAATTCACATTTGTTGAAATTTGTTTCATTATGTAATGATTTATCAAATCATACTGATGGCACTTAATAACTTGTAATCATTGCATTGTATCATCATTAGTATAAATTGTAACTGTATCTTCAAGCTTTTGCAATACTGTAACTATACATATAGACATGCAAATAAAGCTTAATATGTTGTTGTTAAGATAATTATTAGAATGGCCTCTCTTTCGCAGGTAAGCTACTGGTCTTAAAAGCGTTGTAAATAGGCTGGGAGCCGTATTTAACCCAAATGGAAGGCCTTAAAAGGCAAATGTTTCGTCTTTCCATTGGACGAAAAGGTACTTTTGTGAGGACTCGTACACATGGACAGACAGATATACGTCCTTCAAGTCTACGCATGTCAAAAAGTCTCCTTTTTTAGGAGGGTCTTTAAGTAAGAGATGTTTTCCATTTGGAAGTTGCAGTTTTCTATAAACTTGTTGAGATGGCTCAAGTAGATTACAGGACGATGAGTCCCTTTTTTTGGGGGGACTAAGAACAGTCTGCTGTAGAAATCTTCCCTTGTAAAGGGTATTTTCTTTATTGCCCTCAATGATAGGGGCTTCAGCACTTCTGCACCTATTGGAGGAGCTGTTAAATCCGAAAATTTTGTGACTGGAATGCGAAGTTGAACAGGAACAGAGTGGAATGGGATTCGATATCCCAATACAACGTTTAAAATTTTTGGGTGTGCAGTTATCTGTTTCCACTTCTATAGAAAGTTGTTGAGTCTCGGTTTTGGGGTCCCTTGTGAGGACGAAAGGGCCGATAGTTTTTTGATCGGTTTAAATACCGCAAATGCTCGAATTAGCGCCCAGCTTCAAATAAGCGCCCCGCTTCGAATTAGCGCCTCTCATAAGGCTCAAAATTTGTAATAAGCGCCCCCCCCCCCCTCCCCCAGAAAAAATGAGTTACGGTACTCGGTACGATATACGAGACGTATACGGTCTATACGGTTCCTTTAATGAAATATGACATTGTTAAATAGTATGAACAGTAATGTCCTTTCAAAGTCGCACGGGTTTGCTTCTCATTTCCTTGATAGAAATATCCATGTGAGCACATAGCTGCTTCACTTTGTTAAGTTCCTCGTAAGACTTTGCTCCCAATCGCCGGCTCCTTGTTACTGCCTTAAAAGTTCCTGGAATTACGAGGCCATTTTCGGTAAAGATAGTGTCAGTTTGAGGCTAAAAATTGATAAACGAAATAAGCGCCCCCCTTCGAATTAGCGCCCGCCTGTCGCCTCAGAAAATTAAATAAGCGCCCCGGGCGCTAATTCGAGCATTTACGGTACTTGGTGAAGGCACCTGAGTACCTCAGGCGTGGTCTGTCCTCATTGCTTACCTAATTCTGGTAAGGTTGCTTAAGTTTTAAAGTGTTAAAGAGGTTCTAGGCTAGACCCCGTGACAGTTCTGCTTGCTTAGAAGCAACAGAGGGGAAGCCTTCTCCAAACCGAAAACGCTTGGCTTTGGGAAGTGGCTGTTCGGCCAGACTTATTTTCTCTTTATCAATGTTAGCAAGGATATGTCTTCCGTCGAGACACACAACTGATGATTTGCTGAGCCAAAAACGCAGAGTGTCTGTTCGACGATAATCTTAATTTCCTCTACAGGAACCTCGGTTTCTGATGAGGGAGCGTCATGAAGGGAACACAGGGGTCCTGTGGAGTTTTAATAAGCCCTTTGGACTACGGCCATCTCCTTGTCACGTTCTTGCACGTATTTTTTTGTTTGTGAAGGGCTAAGTTGATTAATCTGAAGGGTCTAAGGTAGGTGTTATGAGACAATACACTCAAGGGATATTGCAATTGTCCAGGATTTCATAAACCTGATCATAACTCATTTTTCTACGGAATTGTTTATCTAAGAAGGAAGCCAGTTCCTGTCTGGGTTCCCATGAGGACTGGGGAGAGTCAGGATTGTATAACGATGATTTGTTGCTGGCCACCTTGTGTGCTTGGGAGCCTTCGGCTGATTGTGAGACGATGGTCTCGTTTGATGGCTTAATTAATAGCCTGGTGTTTTGGTTGAGTAGCCTGAGTTTGGGGCTCAGTGGCAACGGCACACATTCTTTAGAATATAAAGTTCCCTATCGGAATAGGCCAGGCAGAACCGAGGTTTGGTCATCAAGGAATGGTGGCAGATTTCCCGAGTGTTGCTCGAAGCGAGACTCCATGGAGGAAACTCGGTCATTGGTCTTCACCATGTCTGTTTGAATTTGCTGTAACCTCGGGGGACTACTGCTCGGCAAGTGCAAGCGTTCACGATGGCGGGAAGGCGAAGAAGAGTGCTGACATCATTTCCTGCGTCATGAAAGGTCGAATCAGTTTGAAAACAAACAGCTTCGAAAGATTTCCTCGCTATTGAGGAGGTGTAGATATAGCTGAAAAAGGAAAGAAAAAGCGAAAAAAAAGTACGGTAAAGATTCACTTACCTGTCGTGGTTTCGAAGCACAGCAGAAAAAGATGCAGCGGATAATGGGACCATGTGCTTGTGCAGAGGCACCATGGGATAACGTCATTTGTTTTTTAACCTGTCCCCGGTCGGGACAGGCCTTTACATGCGTTTAAAAGTGGTTCGAAAATTCCACCTGAATTATACCTGATGTCTTAAATTCTCATATGTTTCGAACGGAGTTTTTTGTAGTCTAATTAGAACTTATGTCTGAGTTTACAAATCTAACAGTTTATGTAGTAAAGTTTTGTCGAAGAATTGTTTTCGTAGAGAAAAAATTAGCTTTAACAATCTTCTCTTTGTAATTTATTTTGCTGGAGACAATAATCTTAGTGGATCCTCATTTCTTAGCAATGGTTGAATGTCTATTGTTTTAAGTAAATTATATGAGTTTATTAACGGAAGCTTCGCTTTTAGGCTTACTTAATCCGTCATTTACTTAATTACATGAAATTTTGGCGACACTTTAAGTTAGCGAATTTAGCGATTTTTCTAAAATTGCTAAATTAAAATGCACCAAAATTACGTGTCGCTAACTTTAAATCGTTGCTAAATTAAAATGAGTAAAATATGAAATTCCGCCATCTGGTCAGTTTCACTTACATATGCTATTTGACGGTCGATATTTGACGTGTATTATGGACTGTGTGACAATTAAGCGGCACTTTAATTTTGCGATTTATCGTAAATTATGGAATCTAAGTCACTTTATTTTCGCGACCTCACGAACTGAAACTTTGGCGAATTGACTTCTTCAATTTATGTGACAAAATCATAAACGTCAATGGCTTTATTTCGAATCAAAATCATACAAGGTTTTAATACTTAAATTTAACCTAAACGAACGAAACTGCAACTGTAATGTCAAGGATTTTCCAAAATCGCTAAATGAACGTGTCGCCAAATTTTCATGTAATAAGGTAAGATAAAATTGAAAAAGTTGATGTGACCTATCATTGTTCATAGGTGTCGACAACGCTTACAAACAGGCAATTAATACGGATTCAGAAATAACCAGAGGCCACATGAATCCCTCGGCAATAAACTCCTTTGATAAGGACTTCATGACGGCGACATTCACCCTTACCAATGCAGTACCTCAGTTTAAAGCATCAAACTGCGGCCCCTGGCAGGAGTTTGAGACAAAAATAGTAGATTACGCGAAGGACATCTGTGGTCCGAGGGGTGGAACCCTGTATCTCCTGACAGGAAGATCTGAGAATGGCATCAAACCCAATAATCAAAACCCTGGCAAAGTTGTTCGAGATGATAAAAACATCGTACCCCCAAAAAATGTTGGTTCAGTGAATCAGAATCTTGTAATCCCTCGTTCCGTTTGGACAGCGGGCTGCTGTTTGTGGACCGAGCCTGGGAAGATGACTGGAAATCTATTGCCGGCGAGAAGAGCCCAGTCCTTCGCGGTGATGAGCAATAACCAGAAGGATAAAGGCAAGCTGTACCAGACACAAATGAGTGTACGTGAACTTGAAGACCTCCTAAGGGATAAAAATTCGGCAGCGGTAAATTTGTTTCCAGGAGATGAAAATTGCCGAAACCCTGCGAACAATATATAAAGGCTTAAGTATATATCAATTAGCTTGCGTAAATAGCGGGTTTTGTTGGGCGAGCGCGCAAATGAGCTGAGAAGAAACTGATCACGAAATTGTCACTGATTTCAAGTCAGTTTAAACCTGATACGCTACGCTGGTTTTCTATATTTATTGGAATATTTATTCTTGTTACTCTCGCTTCCTTCTTACTGTTATGTTTCTAGGAAGGTAGACATCCCCTTATCGCATTGCGCATATGACCACCCTGCTAGCAGAGCCTTTCCTTCACTTGCTCTCCTCTGGCGAACTTGAGAAAGACTCTACATGAATCGAGTAAGATCTTTGTTGAACCCTTCTGCTTTGATATAGTTTCGGGCCCAGGCCTAATAGCTGTGCGCTTGCTAAAGCGGGCTCGTTTATGGCCATCGGTTTATCAATAAACGGACGCTCGCACTCGAAAAAAGAACAGTTTGAAGAAGGAAAACAAGATTGACTAGTCCAGAAGTTGGGGCTGCGGCGACCTCAAAGGTTTGCCGTGATTCAGGCAGAGTATACTTTACTCCTCCTCATTCAAGAAGACAAAAAGAGACTCTGCTCGCAGGGTGGTATATGACCAACTGATGATCACGAAACCATTAAATATCCTCACTTCCGACAAAAATGTGAGTGAAAGTAAGCACTCCAAATGCATTAAGTTAACAAAACATAGTTGTCCCTGTAAAGGTATATTTTAAAAAATATATAATGCTTCTGCAATCCACACAGATTTGTTTCAGCGCAATTTATTCCTAGAAGTCATTAAGTCATAACATTAATATTGAATTCAAGTTTGATTTAAGGGAACTACATTTCTCGATGGTCAAAGAAAATACAATCTTTTCACTTGTTTCATCCATTTCAGTGGCGGATCTAGGGCAGGGGGCCGAGGAACCCCAACTTCTTTCTCAGGGCTATTTCCCTTAAGGTGTGTTCCTTTCGGCGAATTCAAGAACTGATTTTTGATCCTAGATTTGCCGGATTTTCGTGGTCGAAAGGAACGTGAAATCCGAAATTGGATTTGTAACCTTGGTACCCTTTCGCAAACGTGTGCAGTATGCATGACAGCCTCTCAAGAAATGAGGTGTTTTCTACTCTTTGACAAATTATGCGATTATATCGTGCAGAATTTTGTGCTCGGCAGTTCGAATAGCGACCATGGAACATATAAAACAAATCAAGAAAGAAGCGCCTTAAAGTTGAAAATTATCTAAAGATTGTCGGCTCAGTTTGATCCAGTCTCGTAGCTCCGATTCCTTCATGTAACAAGATCGAGTACCGATCGCGTCTACAAGCGGGTTTGTAGAAAGATAGCAGTTCCTTTGTCCCTTTTACTTAGTTGTGTTTTTAAGCAATTTTTAGCGATAAATGGTTAATATATCGATATTTTACCGTACCAGGAACAATCATCCAGTATTTTCAGACGTTTTCGGCAAATGGCAGCAACGAGGAAACTCTCGCTTCAACTGGAAATACCGCTGGATCATCTGACTAATTTCGGATCCACTATGAAAGGAACAGCTAATCCGTTAATCTGGATTTTGATTCTTCGGATTTCAAATCTAAAATCAAACAGGCGACAATCTGTCCCCCGCTATATTATTTTTTTTTCCAAAACTCGGGGACCGCCCTAATAAAAAATCGACTTTCTGTTATCACGTAGTTAGAAATGCGATTTCCCGCCAAAATCACGGCATGCAATTGAATACGGTATGAACGTCGCGACGAAAAAGGTTTTTAAGAACATATTTTCTTACCCATTTGGTAGCGCGCAATGGCTCCTCTAAATTTTGAAGCGACTGAATTTTGCAAAGAAAATGAATGTGACATTTCACACAAATTAACATGGTGGGGTGGACGTTCGTTGACGTCACGACAATTCCAGCTCGTTCACTTTTTCAAATGTCGACGAATTTTTTTCTAAAGATCTGTTTCTAAGATTAGAAAAAGAAAATGAAAAATCGTTCTTGAGTTCACGTTTTACATAAAACGAGAAGTTGGGAAGTTTCACGTCGAAATCGTTCGACGACGGCAAAGAAATGTACAATAAAAGGCGATGCACGTGCAGTGTTGATATTTTGCTAATCCGAACCTATTGCTTATTTACCGGTTTCGTTGCCGTTGTCGTTCCTTAAGCAGCTCCCCATCACTGAAACGACTCCTTTTTACAGGTTCCGACATTGGAGAAACGTTTCCCAGGTAATTATCTCGCTAATTTCAAAGAAAAGCAAACTGCATGACAGCTTCAACTTTCATGTTTTATTCAACATAAATCGCTGAATCCTAAAACAAAATCTAAAATAATGTAAATCAACTAATATGCTTCGCCTGCAGCTCCCGGCCGGGCGAAAGAATAATTTAATAAGTAGAAACAATGTTGACCGCAAATGTTAAAAAAAAAAAATCCGTAAAATCTTGGGACAGCAAAGGACAGAAAAAAAAATGGAACGGAACGAAAAGGTGGGTCGACTGTTCATGTCTAGTAGCCTCCCTGTAGCCTCTTCAACGAGGTGTGACACTTTAAACATACCTAGTAAGTTCTTTTTGAGATACAAAAATAATTCTACATTCATTCACCAATACTAAAATTTTCTATGATGAGTAACTGAAATTTACTATTTTTTAAATTAAGAAATGATTTTAATTTGTTGTTTGTGGCTTGCCACAACAGCACATCTTTTTTAACCAAGAAAAAAATCGACCAACACGGCATTTCTGCAAAAAACAAAAACAACAAGGGAATAATCAGGTGTTAATATATTATTGTGAAAAAACCTCAATGTATATAGCATCCCAACGCCTGCGCGGGAACGGGCTGCTACAATGTAAGCACAGTCTCCTGTGAAATGCTTAGAATATTATGTTGAAAGTGTTAGGTAGCAGTCATACTCTTGCTTCTGTTTAAAAGAGCGGCTATTTCTGTATTAATGAAGCGAGACTGTGCAGGGCAGATCTCGAAAGTGAAACCTCGCACATTGGATGGGTTAAGCACCGCATATATGGTGCAGCGTGATCAGTTATTTGGACCTTTTTGGTCTGGGATCGGGTATCGTTTTCTAGGGAACTACGGGAGTATATGAACGGATTCATCGTTTTGATTTACAAATGAGTAAGAAAGAAAGAGAAATATGGATCAAAAATATGGATAAAAGGAAGTGGTACTACAGTTCCCTAATAATAATGAACTTTATTAAAGTCTCATGTCTTATAGCACAGGCACTGTGCCTTACTAATCGGGGGAGACTTCCCCCAGTCCTTCCCCCGTACTTCCCTGCGGATCCTTTCCCACTGTGCTACAGATTCTTGGCGTGCTTACCTTTAAGTTGGAGCTTTTCCCCTCAAGCATAGCGGGCGATGTACTGTCTTCATCCTGCGCTGATAAGCTTTCGCAGTGCTCGTTGTTTTCTGTTACTCTCTCTTCATTTTCGCAGTGCTCGTTGTTTTCTCTAACGTTCTCTTCCTTGTTGGCCTGTCCACAGGCAATTTCTTTTCTTGGTAGGATCTGAAGTGGGTTTCTTCGTTTGATCAGCTTTTGTGGGCTCCATAGAAGCGCCATGTTTTGGTTTACAATACGGATCGCGGCACTTTCTGATTGGTTATTATCATAAATCAAAATCCGTTCTGCGCATCCAAAGTTGATCGGCTGGAGCATAGAGGAACAGTATTCCACGGTTGGTTGGAGCGGGATCGCACTTATTGAAACAGGAACAGCTGCCGGCGATGGAGAAGTCAGCGCTTTTGTGTACATTAGATAACCGTTTTGTAGACTGTGGAGAGGAGCTTTAGGCTGCATAGTCGAAAAAGGGATAGCTAGGGTGGATGTAATATTGTCATTGTCCACGGTGTCACTTGCGGTCTCCCAAGTATACCTTTCCAGCAGACCAAAGTAGGCTTCCTTAAATAATAGATATTCATCATACATTTGCTGGCCAACGCGAAACCATGATGTAAAGCCCTTTTCCAACAAAAGATAGTGCCTTTGAAGGCGTTCCAAATGAAACTCCAGAATATTATTTTCAGCTTTCGTCTTTTCATACAGTTTTTTAAACTCTTCTCTCTCTTGCATCGTGGCCACTAACATCTCCGTCTTGTATTCAGCATAACTCTGCCACTCCATAATTTTCCCCTCCAGGTGAATTCGGTTGGAGCTATGTACTCCACATTCCTCACGCAACGTCTTGTTTTCCTCTTCTAAAACTCTGTTTTTGTCTTTTAACTCGCGATACGAAGGCATTTTAAAATATTTTAAACACGCAAATAGAACAAGCCAACCGCCAAAAATATTAGTCGGTGATTTTTGTAGGTTAATTTAGTGATGTCATAATCAGCTTTCACCTGGTTGATTTCTTTTGCGCGCGCATGAGTGTACGGGAGAAACCAGAGACATCCATCCTTTTGGTCAGCACCAAGGGACAAACCTAGAGGCTTAAATCGGAAAATAAGTCATCTCTGATTGGTTGATAAAAACGTGTTCATCACATGCTAATTACTTTGCAAATCAAAATAATGTTAGCCCATTGTTTTGATTTTGATTTTGATGTACATGCTGTGCGTTTCTAGAGGATCTTATTTGGCGATGAACGCGCAAATAAGCTGCGATGAAAGTTATTAAGGAATTAATTATCATTGAATTCAAGTCAGCGTCATTAAAAGTTTAAATCGCTTAAGCTGCGCTGGTTTTCTGTATTCATTGGAATATTTATTCTTGTTGCGCCCAATTCTTCTCGTTTTAAGGGATCGTACTGGCAACGAGTACTGCAACAGCAGCGAAAACTTCACCCAAAAATAGGATTTGCGCTGTTCGAAATTTCATAGCTCTTATTCCAACTCTTCTAGTTTGTCATTGGTTGGGTTTTTTTTTCGGGAGTTGAAATCTAAAGGACTATATCTAACTTCGCAAAAGAAAAAGAAAATCGTTGTCTTGTGTTCCCGACTCCATACAACGTGAAATTTCGAAGTTTCACGTCTTAGACGTGCAACGACGGCAA